TGTATATATATATATATATATATATATATATATATATATATATACGTAGATATATAGATTCGTTCGTGTAAAAAAAAAGCAACGAATGTTCAATAACGAACGAAGAGAAATAACATGGATTAATATTTCGAACGAATTTAACTATTTTTCATCATAAAAATCGAGAGATCCCATATCTTCGATTTTTAACGAGATTCCTTCTCTCCATTTTTCTTTCGACGATCGTTCGATCCCAAGGCCACACCACCACCACCACCACTTGTTTCTTCCTACATTCTATCCTCCGCTTTTCTTTCGCGAAAGAACCTTGCGTTATCCAGATTCGAACCGGCTTTGTTTCGCGTAGCGCTCCACGTCCTCGAGTATAAAAATAACTCGATAGTTTAATGTAAACGGCGCGATGCACATATATCGTAGACGAGAAACCAAATATTGTTTCTACTCTTGAACGCACTCCTTTTTACGCGCTCCTTTTCGCGCCCAAGTGAAAAGTGTTCGTTGATATAATAATAATACGCACGACAGAGCGAGTTTATAACCCGCTTTCCTTTTTTTCCCCGCGATATTCCTCCCCGATTTATCGCCACGTGCCATTAACAACGCCGGCAGAAAACGACCTTACGACCGTCGAGATCGTCGTTATCGATTAAGAATCAATCGCAACATTGTCTCGGTCCCGTGCCCCAGACGAACGATCCGCCTCGTAAATAAACGCTTAGAATATGAAAAACGATCGTGTGCCTCGTCCGTCGCTCATGAATTATTCACGGTGTTGCGTTCGAGGCAACTCTTGCTCGTGCTTGCTTCTTCGTAAATTTCGCGTTTAATCGCGGAGGAGACCCAGCCCAAACCATAAACCGCGCAAATAATATTTTTTTCTTGGGTGGAAAACACGTGGAGAAAGAAACTCGGGAAAGATTCGATCGTTTTATCGATCGATCGGTGAAAAATGAGGAATTTTTCGAAGCTCGTCGAAAGAAACGGGGATAATCGAAGAGTTATCGATCGTTATCGGGACGTTATCTCGATCGAAACACGATCCATCGTATCGACTTATACGTATACAATCGAAGAAAGGCAAACACCCGTGTTGATCCTTTTGCCATTAATGATCGAATTTAATAAACACTCCCCGCGATTAATCGAAATCGATACGACGGGTCGATCTCGAGTTAACGCGGTTTTATTTCTATCCGTTTCATATCGGGAGAAATAATTCGCGGATTTCGAGCTAATGTTTTTTTAAAATATAATATATATTTATAATTGCATGGCAGGTTAGCCCGCGCCTCACGTTCATAGGGTTAAAAGGGTTTTTCGAAACGTCAGATTGAAAAAAATCGGCGTCGTTCATTTCGTAGGATGGTGCTTTCAGCGATGAAATATTGCAGAGCCTGTCCAATGAATCTTCTCTCAAAAGCCTTCGAGTCGAAGCTCGAGTCGAGAGGTGGGGGCTTGTTCCTTAATCCTCTCGAATCTCTTCGAATAATTCGGCAAATATCGACAATAACGAGCTATCACGTTTTCGAAACGTACACGCGATACAGATTTCCAAGTTTTTCCAAAAAAAAAAAAATACAATACGTGGAACGAACGCTTGTCAGAGATCGAGAACGAAAGAGAAGAGAATCGAAATTGAGAGTAGAGAGAGGCCGTGGTGTCACGACGCGTGGTGTCCTCACATTTTTATTTAACCAGCCAACAAGCAAATGAAATCGCGATGCTTGCCAACGGGCATAATTTCCACGAAGTAACTGGCTCGACCCCGTTCTCTAATTGATCGATCTCTAATTAATTCGTCGATCACGGTTGATCCCGATATCGATCGCCGAGGGATCGAGGGAAAAACGATCTCCTCTTTTGTTTTTTTTTTTTTATCCAATTCGAAGAATTTACGATTTCGATTTTTTCGATCCACGAAAGGAAGAGAGGAAAAAGTTGAAAAAGTTGTAGAAATAAACTATCGATAATAAAATAAAAATAGAAATAAAATTTCTTTCTCTCTCTCTCTCTCTCTCTTTCTCTCTCGTTTTATTCAATTCTTAGACGACAGAATCACGATCCATATCGTCTACGATTTTCATCTCGATCGATGGAAGATGAGGGGAAGGCAGGAAACAGAAGAATATTGATTACGTTGTTCGAGTACGTGCTCGCAGAAGAACGATATTCCTCTTCCTTCTTTTTTCTCTCTCTCTTTTTTTTCCCTCTCCGTTTACCTTGGCTCCACTGGAATGCGTCGAAGATAAGTCGAACAACGAAGGAAAGAGGTTTTGTTTTTTCCAATGGAAATATCGTGTACAGGTGCGCACGGAACGGACGGAAAGAGTGGTTAACGAAGGAAGGAAACCTCGAGCTCGTATCATCCGCTCGAATACGTGTACGTATTTCGATCGAAAAAGACCAACGTATGCAAAATTGGCCGCCACTTCAGCCACGAATGCTTGCCAATCCACGATATAGTTATACCGTGTATATAGACCACGATTACGCGAATATATCAACTTGTACAATTTATCGACGAGTCTAGCGTTCCGTCGATAAACTAAAAAGACGCGAGAATCGATTCGATGGCGAGAGAGAGACTTCTCGAAACTTGTGTGTCACACTTGGATTATCCGATTATCTTTCACGCGTAGGAATTGCAAGATTGGACACGATTTCTCATTTCGTTCTATATAAATCCATGCAAACTCGAAACAAACGAGTTTTGGAACGTGACCGGGTGAAATACGATAGTGTTCAAAATTATTGGATACGATTGTTCGGTGTTTCTTTAAGTCTTCCCAAGTTGAAATAACAAAAGGATAATATAGGAAAATTTCTAGAATATTTCGAATTCTTCACGCGGCGAGACGTGTAATAGCCTTAAAATTATATCGGATAAGATTCTACTAAGACTTCGTAGCCTCGTAAGGCTAACCTAACCTAATCACGCGACAACGATACATGTATAGGTAAGTTTTTTCTTTCTTTTTCTTTTTTTTTTTCTTTTTTCGTTGCGTCGAACTCGAGCAACGCGATTTCTCTATTCACTTTCAAAAAGTTAATCAAAGGTGAAGAAAATTTAAGTGATCGTGATTATCGTATAAAAAAAAAAAAAATCTCTCGTCGTATAAAACCTCTCTTCGGTTTCTCACCATTTCCAGAGAAATTGTGCACATTTTTAGCACGTAGCGAACGTTAATTCGACGAGCTAAATAGCAAACATTTCTCGGCGCTCTTTTATGGTACGTTGCCGTGAACATTGACGATAAATATGAAACTGTAGTGCACTGTAGGTCAAGCCAATTCTCGCCGCATTCCTAGTTGAAAGCGATGGTTCAATTTACACGATCGCTATATACCGATAGTTCCCTCGTGGAATAATACGGATTTCTTCTCCCGATAATAAAACATTCCAATGATAATGAAAAGATAAATTGCTCGAGAAATTCTCTCCCCTCAAAAAAAAGAAAAAAAGAAATCAAATATCATGTATAATAAGTGAGAACGAAGACGAGGAAAATCAACGATTAGAAATATTAATCGATTCCCTCTGTTCGAAGGAAAGATGAAAAATCTGCCGTTGTTACACCTGTGTGCGATAAATCGAAATAACGCGAGATGCGTGCACCTGTGATCGCGAATCGATAGCGTATGATAGAAAAAAAAAAAAAAAAGAAAAAAAAGGGTTATGCAATGCGCGGGAAAGAACCACGATTCATTAGTGGCACGAGTCCGGTTTCGAGTTGAAATACGAGAAGGCAGAAATAACCTTGTTGGAGAACGGTGCCCGTCGCAGAAAAACAATAATCGCGTCTCTGAATTTCCTTCGATTAATATCCACTATTTTTCCATTCGATCTTTCGAGACGAACGAGTCGAGATTGTATAAGTATATCGCAACTTTCAAAGCGAATGAAAAGTGAACATAACCTAACCTTACACCTCTCTATATCACGCATTTGTAATTTTTTTTCCAAAGAGAATATTTTCACATCTCTCCGATTCTCTTTCGAATCTAGCAAAATATTTGAAAAGCTAATCTAACCTAATCTAACCTCTCTATATCAAGCGTGAATTTTAATTCGTGTTCATCTTTTCCAAGGAGAATAACAAGAGAGAAAATATTTCCACATCTCTTCGATTCTCTTTCAGATATGGCAAAATATTTGAAAAGTGAACGTAACTTAACCTAACCTCTCTATATATCACGCGTGTAATTTTTTCCAAAGGGAATATTTTCACATCTCTCCGATTCTCTTTCGAATCTAGCAAAATATTTGAGAAGTGAACGTAACCTAACCTCTCTATATCACGCGTGTAATTTTTCCCAAGAATTTTTCCACACCTTTCAGATTCTCTCTCTAGCAAAATGTATACGTGCGTATTATTTGTAATCGATATTATCCTCTCGACTCAAAACGAATCTGTACGCATGAGTGAAGGCATCCATCGAATTCTGAATTCTATCCTCGATCGATCGATGCGATCCCCCTTCGATTAATCCGCATCGAGTTCGATTACGCGGCAAACGGCTTCGAATGGATAATTCGACACGAAGGTCGCTCTCGGCCCGCAAGGTTGCGCGTCTAGATCTCCTTAACCGATGCAACATACTTCTCTAAGATGGTGAAAAATGCGAGGACGATCGCAGATACCCGTACACGGTGTATACGATTCTCGAACCAGCGTTATTATAGCGAATTCCGTTCCCCGTGCCTCGTTCTTCATTCCTCGTTACACACTCTCTCTTTATCCTTGGATCTCGATCGATCTTCGTTTATATATTCGTTTGTACATTCGTCTAAAACGAATCTCTCTCTTTTCTTTTTTTTTTTTTTTCCTTCGATTCTCATCAAAATGAAAAATTTGAACGGGAAGGAAAAAAAGAGTGATTCGATCGACGAGTGGAGTTTTCGAATTTTGAAAAACAGAACACGCCTTTGATACATATCTATCTATGCGCGAATATGAATATTTGCGTCTTTTTCTTCTTCTTCTTCTTCGAAGATACACAGAGTATGTATTAAAAGCGCTCGAGGATAGAAGAAAACCTGTTTCAGAGATAAGCAGAGTAATGATCCTTGTTTGCGCGTACAATGTAGTGGTGTGGATTTATTATATAAGTTGGAAGATAACGAGAGAAGGAGCTAATAATAAAAGAAACCAATTTGCAGAGAAAATTGACTCTATTACCTTTTATACGCATATTTGTTTATTCCTTCGATTCACCACGCTGTACTCCTCGTCTTTTTACCACGTCAAATGTATGCAAATTTATCGTAGACTTGATATACGGAAAACAAAAAAAAAAAAAAGAAAAAAATAAATCCATATTTAA